CTATAAGCACGGGAAAAATACTTTTAAAAAAAGCAAAAATCTAAACAACCTGCTATAAGTATGTGCAGAATTCTAATGATCACCGCAGGGAATCCCTCAGCTACTCCATAGATAAGTCAAAGGTCAAACTCAGGATCGTATTCAGCGTTAACTTTAATCTAAATCCGTTGTTTCGCCCTTTTTTTTTTCATTTTCAAACCAAAAAGCATAGAAAAATCAGTTGTATGATCCCCTCTGCGCCTCCGGAGGAGTCACAAGTAACACTGGTGATGTTGTCGAGATGTCATCAGGGTTACCTCAGCCTGGGCCTCAAGCTTCACAAGTCTGGGAGAGAAAGGAGAGCTGCAGACAGAGGAGGACGGAGGTGCTCGCTAAGCAGACGGGGTTCAAAACCAGGAGCTTAACGAAATCTTCTCTGCAGTTGCTGAAAGCCTGGATTCCTCAGCTTTATAAATATTCAAGCAGAAAACCTGCCAGACGAAGACGCAGGACGAGGTTTATGGTAGTTAACACTTTAAGGCTGTCTTATATAACAGTGTGGGTGTGTGTGCTGTGGAATTACCAAACAGAATAAAGCTCAAGTCAAAGCACCTCGTCTTTGTTTTATTACTTCTCTTAATATCATAAGCGTCCCCATGCTGCCCATAGTCACCTTTTTTTTGATTGGAACTAAATAATGTAATTCACTTCAATTGATTTATAGTTCATAAATTCATGAAAGGAAAATCAAATTTCTTTTAAAAGGCTAAGAGTTCCAGCTCTTATTAGAAATGTTTAATTAAATCAAATAAATTCGATCCAGCCATACAGCCAGATTGGAGCTCAGTTATTTACATCCCAGCTACAATTTAACTGTAACAAAATGGAGTCAGATTCAGTAGTAAATATCATTTTCTAAAGTGATGTAATTAAGTAAGCCCTTCTTCATCAAGTTTTCGACTTTGCACCTAACTGTCCTCATGATGCATGTAACCACAGTGGATAGTTAATTGCATCAGTATATGTATATTTATGCAATGAATATGTATTTTAAATAACACAGAAAATAAGATTTAGTTTTTCAATCTTCTAGGTATTTCAAAATGTGACATTTTTAAACATTTTTTTTTTTTTACTATATTGCATATGTCATGGGATAAAAAGTATCCAAACTCTGTTTTCACTAAAACTTAAACTTGAAGACTGTGATGTTAGTATTAAGGTTCTGGGTACTTTGGTGCTCTGGAAATGAACTACTTTCTATACTTGATTCAAGTTCTTTTTCCTATTAGAGAATTCTCGTGGAAGGTGCCCAAAGGTGGTAAGAATATGCTCAGGCATGTTATGTGAGCAAGCTCACTTGTAGGCTTCAGATGGAAAGGGCCACGACAAAAGCCTGGGAATATATATGATTGAGATGTGGCTGTGTCGCGACCTTAATAATGTCCTTCAAATTTGGTTGAATAAAAACTATTCGGAAAAGAGGAGTGGGTCAAAATCATTTTGTTGCCAATTTTAGCCACCAGAAGTTGCAAAAAGGTTTTTGGGTTAGATTATTTTCTATACATATATATTTACAGGACAATCCAGCTTGGAATAGTTTTGTATTTTCCCTAAATAAATGACTTCATCATTCAAAGCCTCTTTTATATCTAGTAAGATTATTGCAGATATTTAAAAAATTAATTTTAAATAACCCCTTAAAATCAGAGGGACTCTGTAAGAAAGCAAATACATTCTAGCAGCAATGTTTATCTAAATATAATTATATGAAACACAGAAAAGGCTACTGGTTTTGGTAGCAGATTATTAGCTTTTCCAGTCATTCCAGTTACGATGTAATAGTACATGCGCTATCCTGCCTCTGCTTTTCACACACACACACACACCAGTGTTTGTGCATTCGCCATTCACTGTGGCGAAGCTGTTCAAACGCAGCACAGCACTCGAGTCCACTAAATAAAATCTTATGTGGAGAAAAAAAGAAAGGCGGATAAAAAGGAAGAGCGACAATAGATTAGTGATGGCAGCCAGCGTGTGAAATCTCTTTGTTAGGCTCGCCGGGATGTTCCACAGTGTGAAACACGCACACACTCACACACATGCTTACCAAACATACAGTAATTGATTCAGTATCAATTGGCTGTCCTGGATTTGCATTGACTGCTAATGCATCAGGGTGAGACTCAGAGAGAGAGAGAGAGAGAGAGAGAGAGAGAGAGAGAAGACAAACAGGGAAAAGAAATAGAAGATGAGAGACACAAGATGAGGGAGCACGATCTGAAATACAGCCAGACTGTGATTGGGTGTTAAAAATGCACTAATGTGCACTGAGATGGGCAGCATTAGCCGGTGATGATAAGCTAATTGCTAATCAGCAGATCATAGACTAACAATGCTTGTGGTGCACGGCTTTGAGCCAGGACGGCACTTCAGCAGGGCCGAAGCAGAATGGAGGACCGGATATTTTGGGTTCAGAAATGTGAAATTTTGGGGAATTCATCATCCTGCTCTTGTAGCGATAATATCCACGCTAATGAGCTAACGCAGATAGCTTATCAGCCAATGTTTCACTGAAATGCAAATCGCTGGCCTCATCCCAACTCTACGTCTAAACCACGTGTGCTAAATACTTGCACCTTATCATGAGGAAATCAATTTGGAAAACCAAACAGGAGGAATTGTATTTATAGTCGATGAAATCCACAAAGAATTCCTTCTAAATTTCAATCTTCCAACCCAAGAATTGTTTCATTAATATCCACCGTCGGTGAGAAAAAATAGGACAAGACAAGCCGATCACATACACACAGACCACTCTCTCTTTTGAGACATTAGCGATGCCCTTTTTGAGCGAGGGACTGCCTGAGGGATTATAATCAGAATTTTCATCTCAGTTAGGGATTAATAGAATAAATGGGCAAGCAAGAGAGCGCTAAGTGTGCGTGTGTGTGTGTGTGTGTGTGTGTGTGTGTGTGTGTGTGTGTGTGTGTGTGTGTGTGTGTGTGTGTGTGTGTGTGTGTGTGTGTGTGAGTGTGTGAGTGTGGGGCTTGAACGGTCAGGTATGCAGCCTTTTTGGGCACCACTGATTTTCCTATTTAGCTATCACACATACACACAAAACATCTAGGCCAGAGCAGTTTGTTTGTTGCGAAAAATTAAAATAATAAACGGCTTTGTGTTGCTCAGATGCAGATGTTTATTTTTCATAATGCACATGCACTCAGTTTGCACAGAACGCAGGTTAAAATGTGCAAGATGCTTGCCGATGCAAACATGAGGGTATATAAAATCTCAATTTTGTCCACTCAGCATTATCACTCAAATACATATAGTCCAGGCAGTAATATGAATAAGTTGCATTTTGATTCCTTTTTGTTCCCCTTGTTCAGAGGCTCTATAAAATGTATAAAGCAGACGATTTACAATGCAGTCTTTCTTTTTTATGGTCACTCTGAATACTTTTGAATCGCCACAATTGCAGCCTCAGCAGATTATTATATTTTTCTCCATCCCCTGCCAGTTTGGGGTCAATTAGGATGAAAGCTGGTGTTGAGTGTGGGGGGGGCTAGCTTTATTTATTATCTATCAAAATTGATGTTTTGCAGGGATTGGGTGTTTGTGTCGCAGCGGAGAAAAGCGCAGCGGAGAGAAAGGACAATTAAAGGGTATGACGTAAATTAAACAGACCATTTAAGGAGGGTTTTCCCCCCTTTTAATCCAAAAAAAGATGCAAACTTTTAATAGTGTTTGGTCTGACCACTGCTCAGTGTGTTGTCAAGCTTGGAGAAGATATATGCTGCTGCTGTCCTGTTTTTCTGTCCTGTCTGAGCGTACAGCTGTTCCCACCAAGACGTTCCCACACGCAGCACTATTCAAGCAACCAGACGCTCTTATTATGATGTAAATCGCTCTAATAACCCAGTTTAGCTGGTGAGTGTCTGCGAGAGTAAGAGTGTGTAAGGAGGTGTGTGAGTGTGTGGTTGTGTGTGTGCATTTTCTATACGTACAGAAACCAGAAAATGTAAGCTGGTGTTTTTACCACCATGGAGAGAAGGACGGGGATGGATCATGTTTTCCCAAAACAATGCCCTCATCTGACTCCCCGTTTCAATCATGGGAACTGAGTTCAGCTCCAAATGTTAAATATTGGGTTCATTTTCTCAAATTCCTGAGCTGCATTCCACAAACAGGCTTATGATAGGTGCTTTTTATTCTCTCTCTCTTTGCAACAGCTAATTTAGTACTCTGTTAAAAGCTGTTGCTAATTAAAATGCAGAAGGAAGAAAGAGGGGGGAAAAAAATCACACTGTAACAAATAATTAGTGGTGTTAGAGCCCTTCCGTGGGCAAGGCCCTCGTTTGATCCGAAAGCGGAAGGTAGAAGGATCCTCCGGCGAGGAGGTAAACTCAGAGAGGGGAAAAAACGATCTGGGCCAAATTCATTCTGGTAAAATAGGCTACACTAAGAGGGAGGGAAGGCAGGGCAAGAGAAGTTAACAATACAGAATCCCAGAGACAAGCTGCAGTTGCTCCTGAGACTAAAAGACACTGATCGGAAAAAGATCCTCAACACACACACACACATGCAGTGGCCAGTGGGACCAAAAATTCAAGGGCACCCCTGTCTGTGACCTGGGAATAGGTCACAGTGGGTTAGCTGCACAGACTAGGAAAAAAGGCACACAAACATTGTGCCAGATGAAGCTGATTAAAGTCCTTCTTCTACTGAAGTCCCTCTCAGCAGAACAAAGGTGTGTTTTCTTAGACAAAAGCGTCCATTTGGAACCTTGATCAAGTGAAGCAGCATAACAGGGTTGCTTGTTGTAGCATGATAAAACATGAAGCATTAGTGAGTTAAGATATAAACTGACTTTACACCAAATGACAAATGGAACAGTTAAAGTAGTTCTGCTTAGAGCCTTTTCTATACACAAGCCAGTGCTCTGAATGTACAGATTCCTGCAGCTCCGCGCTTCTGTTTTCATAAAGAGTTGGCGGTGGTCAAGTTGCTCTGTTTACCTGGAAGGGGCTCCTGTTTTGGACAAATCCCTCGAGGCGATGAGAACCTGTCGTCATCCTCATCTGCTAGTGTGGCCTGAACCCCAACTTCAACTGGTCTCCGGCCACGCAGGGTGTTCAGAGCGGGTGATGGGGTGAGGGCCAAACCTGGGGAGGGCGAAGGGGGTTTGTCCAGCCCCCTGCCTATGGTGAGGCAGGGAGGGCCATGGCATCGTTTCCTCTTGTGCTCAATGAAGAGCAATATGTCTGCCAGAGGAAAGGTGGCCTGGCACTGACCACAGGTCAGGAGGTCCTGCTCTGGAGAGGAATGAGAGTCTGGGCCAAGCCGGGCCAGCCGACCCACCAAGGGGGCCGGGTGGTGCCCATTAAGAATGCCGCTGTCCTCCGAGTGCTCCGAGCAGCGCTCCGACAGCTCCTCCGACGAGACGACGGCCGTGGAGAGGGGCTCTGCGGAGACAGAGGGGAGAGAAATTAGATACTCATGTTTAAATTCCTATTTTCCAACCTATTGATACAACTCATGCTGCGAACTGATGAGAGGGACCAAACATTCCTTCTGCTGTCACACAGAGGATCAGAGACAGAGAGACAAAGCTTCACATGTGGTTCACACAATAAGGGGCTGAGAACATGGGCCTTGTAATAATAGAAATGCATGAAATGCAGCAAAAATGATTACAATGCAAGATGGATCTCAATCACAGATCACAGCAATAAACGGTGGGAAATAATATCCCGAATGGATGCAAAGCTCCAATCACATGGCTTTAAAGATAACAATTTTATAGCCAATGACAGGGGGAGCTTAGAAAATGATGCGTTGAAAAACCTAAATATGTGGATGACTTTGACTTGGCGGTCCGTGTTTGTACACGGGCTGAGCCTTTAATCAGCACGGACGATTGTCACAAACACATCCAGCACATATGCTGCAAAAGGAGAGGGGAAGACAGGGCAGACAGAAGGAGAGACAGGGGGAGAGACGGGGGTATAGAGGGCTGGTTTGTCTTGTCCCTCCGCTTCGATAACGTGTGCTTCACTTGGAGCTCAGGCTCATACGAGCCCAATTTCTCTCTCCTAAGGTGAAGAAAACACAGACATAACTGCTTTTTAAGGAATCGTTTTGTTGATCTCAGAGAGCAGTAAGGAGAGAGCAAAGCAGCAAACTGGGAGAACTTAAACAGTGTCCCTCTTTTAAAAGAAAATCTTCCAGTCCAAGGTGAAGAGTCTGACTCTGAGCTAGTAGCCTAATGTGCGCTGACCTTCTTTACTCATCCACCAATTTCACATTTTAATGAACTTAAGACCACTGAGAATCCAAAAATAGATTTTAATTTTCACCGTCCGGGTGATTGGATACAGATTTTGGTCTGATAACGGTATGAGGGGCAGGGAGATGGGACGCAGCTCCGTGTGCACACACGTGTGTCTGCCTGAAAGTATGTGCGTACAGGGGGGGGGGATTGTGATTTGGAGTACATCTCCCTCAAGGAAATATGTGGATGCCAGGGTCCTGAGCGACATCAAACTGGGACGTGGATTCTACAGGCCAAGCAGCACAGCTTCCAAAATATTCTCTGTCTTTGATTAAACTTTAGGTCAAAGCAAGTTAGACGAAAGGAGGTGTGGTATCATCCATTTCCTCTTAAATTAATGGAACTTATGTGGAAAACTCTCCGGATACATGAAGGTGAATTTGAGAGAGAACGTCTAGGCTGAAGGAAGGGGGTAAATCAGCCTTAAACAAAACACAAAAAAATCTGTTCTACAGCAACAAGCAGAAGCCACTCATCTGTATCTAATTTTAGAGCTGAGCAAACAAGAAGAGGAGCAGAGGGGATATGTCTGCTGCTCACTAAATTCACATGCCATAACATGATTTGTAACATCACCTTTCAGAAACATGCTTTTTTTTTGTTAGATTGTGCTTGAAAACACTACAAAGAGAAAAATGAATACAGAAGGTACAGTAAGGGGATAAACGACGTGCTAAATCCTATATTTTATTGATCTAAAGAATATATCTGATTGTGTGTAAAATTGGAAGAATGGGAATGAAAAAAGAAGACATGAAATAAATTTTTTGATGTTGTGAGTAATAAACGGACAACCTCTGAATGGCTGAGGAGGATTAAAAACTTGTGCATGTGTGCAGAGACGGAAAAAGGTAGATCCGGAGATTTAACGTTTAGGGTGGTGAGGACCAAATGGGGGAAGGGGGGCTTGTTTGGGGTGCTCCCTCACTGTCTCAGCCCCCCCACCCATCCTTACGTCTTGTTCGCTCTCACTGTATTGTAAAGAGCTCGCAAAACATCAATCCGTATAGACAGGGGGGAGGGGGGGGGGGGGTGAAACTCCTCAGGTTCAAGTTTGGAGCTGGATTTTTCTAAGCGCGCTCTGCCTCCTAGCGACAGTTCAGGGTCATTGTCACTGCGCTGCGCCCCGTCTGAAGGAAACACACACGCACCCCCACCCACACACACACACAGACACACATCACAATGTCTGCATCTCCAAACTAAACACACGCGACTGCCCATCAACGATTTCCAAAGGTAATTAAGCACCGACGCCTAAAGATGCGCTAAACTGAACGAGCTCCTGTTTTATTGAGCATGTTCCGCAAAGAGTGGCGCACACTTTGACAACTGTTTTTCAAAACACAAACATCGCTTCTCCTCATATTTGACACCTTTTTCTGGACAAATAAATCCCCCCGAAATACACATACAGGTATTTTATGAGAAACGGACGGAGTGCGTAAAAGTCAGATTCTGTCGGATATAAAAGTTTTTTATCCTAAAATAAAAAACTACAAGTATAATTACTTTTTTTTACAAATTTGGCTGATGTTTACAAAAGTATTTTGTGATCTGTTCCTTATTATTTTTATTATTTTTATACATATTTTTGCAGAGTATTTGTCGCGTATTTTGTATTTTATATTTAAAAAAACGCTGCATCAACTTTACGCGCAGCTAAAAAGATGAAACTGTTAAAACATAAATATAAACTGATGTTTATAGAATCGAATAAAGAGTTATTCGCTTATCCAAAACAAAAAAAACAAAAAAGTCCACTATCCATTTCCATTCCTTTGCGTCCAAAAGGAGCCAGTGTGGACGAGATCGCACTGCAGAAAGCGATATTCTAATGGGGGGATCTGTCCACGGTGCGCTGCGGAGAGGACACGCTCTGACCGAAGCGATCAGAGAGGCGTCCAAGTCCAAGGTTTACCAGCCTGTCAGAGCCGCAGAACTTAAAACCGGTCCATCAAAACTTTTTCTTTCTTTCTCTCCCTCTTCATGAAGGTAGCCTTTTATTTTACGCACAGAAGGTGTCAGACTTTCTCACGGTGCTGCAAAGTCCAGTTAGTGTCCGGTGTCCAATCCCCCTTCCCACCACCACTACACCTTTTTTTGTCCCACCTTGGCTCTCAGATGACCGAACTGAGACAAAAGTGTTTCTAACTCTCTTTTCAGATGCTTCTACTTACGCGAGAAATCCCGTTTGCTGAGGTGCTGCGGTTTGCCTTGCTTGCGGCGAGACATGGTGGCTGTTCAGCGGCTGCGTTCAGCGCGGATCACATCGGGGAGATGCCGGGGTGACAGGAGAGGAGGAGGGGGGAAAAAAGAGAGAAAAGATCTTCATCCAACGCCTTGGACATCTACCAGAGGAAGTGGAGGAGACGGAGTAAAAAAAATAGAGATATATATTGATAAAATAAATTAGAAATTATAGAAAGAAAGCGCGGAGGCGAGGATGGATCGCGGGATCGCCGTCATGGCTTTTTTGAGAAAGGAGAGTAGAGAAAAAAGAGAGAGAGAGTGTGAGGTGGATGGAGAGAGAGAGAAGGGGAGTGAGATTGAAAAAAAAAATGGCAAAAGCCCCCCTCCAACCCCCCCAGCCCACCCCACCACCCCCCCTACACACACACACACACACCACCCCTCCCCTTCTAGCCGTGCAAGTTCAAGTGCACGGACGTGACGTTCCCGGCGAACTTGAACGTCAGGCGGCGGACGGACACCCGACATACAAAAACATGGGCCGGGCCTAGGAACCCGAGTGGGAGTGGGAAGTGGGAGGAGGGACAGACAACACCATTGGACGATCATTAGAGAGAGAGAGTGAGGGAGAGGAGGGGGCTGGACATTAGAAATAGACCCAGCGCAAACCAATGGACACAGAGATCAGGGGGGCCGGACAAGAGGCTCTGCACGGGAGGGAGGAGTGTGTGTGTGTGTCTGTGTGTGTGTTTTAGTCAGAGAGATGTATAATGAAAGCAATATGCAGAGAGAAAGAGGAAGGTGCATGCAGAACAGAGCGCACTGCTGCATAAGTCTCTGTGTAGGGGGGGAGGGGGTATGTTTGTGTGAGCGAGCTCACCTGGACCCACGCGTGTCCCCAGAGCTGTGCACAACATTAGGAAGCGCAAAAGAAACGGGGAAGGGATAAGTATGTGTGGCTGCAGTGAACAGGAGGGACAGGTTGAACAACGAGACAGCAGCATGTTCTTTCCATCCGGGACCAAAGGTCCAAACATCAGGAAATCACCACCCAGAGCCGGCCCAAGATTGTATGGGGCCAGGGGCCAAATTAGATTTCAAATGGCAGGAATCATATCATGTGTTTTGCTGTTGTTTGATCTTTTCTATAAGCCCCCCACATTACATCTCTATTGGCATATTTTCTTTATAACTTTTAAGTAATTGATTAAATAGTTGTAAAAATCCTCAGACCACAATGTCTTAACCTGACTCTATATTTCTATATCTGGGTTAGCTGACTCCTGATACATGGGATGGAAGACCACTGATCAGAAATCTACTTTAAAAGCTCATAGATGTTATTTAATAGATTTAAACACAGTAATTTGAAGTAAGCAATGAGTAGAAATGACAGTTGAAAGGCCCAGCCCTTAACCGCAGACTTACTCCTAACTGCCCCTATTCTTGATGTTGCATAAGAAAATAAAGCATCAGGGTGGCAAACAGCCACTTTGCTAATTTGCATCTCATTACATGCATTTGCATTGTTATTTTTTCTCTTCCTATTTTATATAATAATCCTAAAGGAACTATTTCCCTCATATGAATGCAACTGTTGGAATCATGTGTTTCCTTTTGTAGTTTTGATGCACCCACAGCTTTTCTCACATTCCAGAATGCATCTTTCACGACACAATTCATACGGACCGTATAACAATATGCAACCATTTTGAGATATGCACATTTAAAATGGATGAATCTATATTTCACACATGCAATGAGATAAAGATATATAATCCTCCAAAAAATTTTTTTCCATAAGGAGGTCAAACATTTCTGATTGGTCACAGGATAAAATTCCTCATGCACAACACAATTTAATGGTGGAAATTGAGGGAAAAAATAAGAATACGTTAAAAGAGCATGTTTTGCAAAGTTTTCTAATACTCATATACATTTTATGAATGACATTTGAACATAGTTTGGCTGTTGTTCTTTATGACTCAACACAATTTTTAACAATGTTCAGTACAGTTTTAAGAAATAAACATTACCGGTACATGATTTGCTATCCGGCAATATGCTGGTATAAAATTGGCAAAGGGGCAAACAGATCTAAAGACAGAAGTATGAGCTTGTTGGGTTAAATAAGTCCTTTGGCCCATGGAAGACTTACAGACTTACATGTACCTCACAGATTTTTTTACGATTCCATAACTTACTGGATCTTTTGGCTCCACTCATCTGTGATCATACCAACTCCTGAGCAGGGAAAACAAAGCAGTACCAGTAATGAAAGAGCAATTAAGGGAACGTTTGAGAATTAGTGGAGTTAAGTGGAGCCAAACAGCGCCAAATGAAAAGGGGCACTATTCAGCCAAATTTCCTGTTTGCTCTGATATTAGCTATTTAGAACAGCATAAGCTTTAAAAAGTTTTATAGTTACAACGCAATATTGGGGTGTGTTACGCTTTAACTGGACAACAGTTAAAGGTATAGTGGATTTACTAAATTTTTGAAAAGTCCCCCATTCTCCACTTAAAAAAAAATGCACATGCAAAACCCTGTACCTGCTCCATAGAGGGAACGCTTAATAAATGCGTACAAGAGCATGCATGAGCCCATTTCTCCTTGCGCACATTTGTTTAAAAGTTGCTGTTTGCATCACTCCTACAAGCTTACCTTCCAAAAGAAGAATTTCCATTATGTCAGACTCACCACCGGTAGGAGAAATGGGAAGGAGCATGTAGGACGGCCTTATGTAAACTTATCATCGAGAGATTGACAATGAAATGGACCACTTATTTTGATGAAAAAAAACATCCTCCACTATGCCTCATTATACCTCTAAGTTTGGGGCTGTTTTCTCCAACGTAGCATTTGTGTTACTGTGCAAAGTTATCCTGATGGAAGGTCATCCGTTAAACTTCAAAATACTCCAGGTCCGTTAAAAATGTATTCAACGTTTGGATTTTCAGACAGAATTACATGGCCAAATCAACACCAAAATTGGCTCATGCCCTGTGTTTTTCTGTGGGTTGTGGCTATTTGGAAATGATGTTGGCAAACTTATCGTGTACCCAATTAAATGGCAGTTTTCGTCAAGATGGCAAAAGCATTTTAATACAAGAAGCATTTTGACTGAGAGTACAGCAAAACGTAACATTCTCATTTAATCTTTTATCCTCTGACATAGGAGCTGGTTCGGAGCTCGTCTGCCTGTTTCCTGGTTAAAGTTTGCCTTTTCTATCTCTGCTTCTTTTTCTATGTCTGCTTCTGTCTCCTTGAACCCCAGCCGGCCTCAGCAGATGGCCACTCACACTGAGCCTGGTTATGCTGGAGGTTTCTTCCTGTGAAAACAAAGTTTTTCTCTTCACTGTCGCTACAAGCATGCTTTATGTGAAGGATTGCATTCTAGTCAATGAGTCGATGCAAACAGCTGGTTTTCTTTTCCTTAGATCAAAAACTTTGAACCAATCTGACTGCATGATCTGGTTGAAGTGTCTCTGAAGTGCCTTGAGATTACATGTTTTGTGAATTGGCGCTATATAAATAAACTGAATTTAATAAAAAATTTAATTGAAAAGTTTACGCAAAGGATCCGCAGAGGGCAGACATTGGGTAACACAAATTTTATTTCTCGCAACACAGCTTTGATAGGTTTTATGGTAGGGGGACAGGCAGGACACCTCTGGTCTGTCTGTAAAGAGAAATCAACCTACAGAGAAGGAAAAAGCGATCCTGAGAAAGAAATAATACATTTGTTTGAAAAATCTGCATAAGAATCCACTAAAAAAGAAGAGGAAACAGAAAGATTTTCACTCATCCTCCTACGTGTTCTCTCTTCGTTTGGGAAATAACTCTTAAGGGTTTGCAGATTTTGGAAAATATCTCATAAATGTGAAGCATTATTTAAAATCCAATACCAGTAATGAAACAGATGACTGTCTATGGTCTCTAGACACAACCTTTAGGGTCGAGAAAAGTGATATTAGAACCTCCAGACTCACTATCTGCTTACCAATGCAGTGAATTTTGAGCTAACATCCAACTTGAAAATACTTTTTAACAACCTCTGTTTGAAATAATCAGAAGGTTTTTTGTTTTTTTTACAGTCACACTTGACCAGCACCAGCCCAAGTATTGCAACTTTTTTAAATGTGTGCAGTGAGTTAAACAGTTAGATTCACAATTTACGCCACAACTTTGAAGGAACCATTCCGAGACTGAGTTTAGATTTTTTAAAAAGCGGCTTCATGTTATAAATTGTGTATAAATGACAGTCTGGAGATGGGTTTCCTTCTCTGACTCATTATCTTACAATTATGTCCAGTGTGCCCCTTGTTCAGAAAAGTTCTGAGTGATGGGGTAGCTGATATATATCAGTGAAAGATTTGTTTTCTGCAATAGATGAGACAGAAGCAGAAGACATTAATAAATAAGCAGAATTAGGGAACCAAACTAAGGATTCAGTTTGTAGAATTCAAAATAAATCAAAAATATAACTTTAGAATAGGCTTAATTCATTTACATTTCAATATCTGAAAACGGATCAATTTATGTTCCAAATATAGTTTTTTGTTTTTGTTTTGTTGTTTACTGAAGATAAAGTATTCTTATCTGGAGAGTGTGCAAAGGTAGATAAGCCATCCATCCATCCATCCATCCATCCATCCATCCATCCATCCATCCATCCATCCATCCATCCATCCATCCATCCATCCATCCATTTGTCTCCATTAATCCAACACTTCATATATTTTGCGCACATTGTTAGAAGTGGCTGCAGTAACTTTAAGATGTGTCTGAGGTTTTAGTTGCATATTTATAAAGAACGGAGTTCTGCTGGATGTGGGGTGGAGAGGAGGAGAAGGAGGAGAAAAAAAGAAGTAGAGAAGGAGGAGGGGGTAGAGACTGTAAACACGCTTGTAATAAAGAGGGTTTGGTAATAAAAGACGCAGGGCTTAAAACTGCATCGGCGCAGCGCAGAGCAGCTCGCTGCGCTCCGATCACCATCCTTTTTTCTTTCTCTTTTGGTGCCGATGTGGGCAGACAGAGGAGGACACAGCCATGGAGCAATTTTGGAGGAACGGAAGAAGGAATAGAAGGAGACAAATACAAGAGGCGAACAGCAGCGGAGAGATTCCCCACCGCCGGAGCAGCTTCTGCGCCTAGAAGGAGCATCAGCAGCAGCAGCTGGGGGTCTGCCTGTGGCTCGGTGTCCTGGAGCCCGACGGAGGAGGACGCACACTTAATACTGAAGGGAGGGGGGGAGGTGGGGAGGTGAAAGCTGGTGGTGGACGAGCGAGACAGGACAGTAAGGAGGAGGAGGAGGTGGAGCGGGGTGATGGGAGAGAGACAGAGAGGATGAGACGGAGAGAGAGAGGGAGGAGGAGGCG